CAGCTGACAGGATTTCCAACATTCTCCCCGGCCGTCGGCAACTGTAAAGTTGTTGACGCAACCATAATGAGTAGAGCCATGGTGAGCTGAAATAAAAAACAAAATTCAAAACGCTTTTTGGTGAGCTGTCGGAGCTTGTCACCCATGAGTGAGTCCGTGAGACCGTCCGGAAGGTGCGCTGGCTAGGCATGGCAGCATCCTAGACGTCGGGGGTCGTAAATCCCTTCTGCGTTGGCTGCTGTCATTCTCACGTTGAACCCCGTCGGTTGGTCAGGGTCGTAAATCCGTCGAAGTTGACGAAGTCCAACGGTGAGAAGCCGGTGAGCTGTCCTGGTTCTATTCCCCTGAAGGTGAGATGGGCAAGAGGACGAGCTTGGCGATTGGCCTTGTCAGCGTCGTCTGAGCAGTCCTGATGGTGACTACCCTGGTGAGTCCGTCCGATCCTGGGTGCAGAGCGGTCACTCGGGCGAGAGGCCACTTCGCTGCCGGGAATCTCTCGTCCGTGAGTAGAACCACNTTCCCCTGAAGGTGAGATGGGCAAGAGGACGAGCTTGGCGATTGGCCTTGTCAGCGTCGTCTGAGCAGTCCTGATGGTGACTACCCTGGTGAGTCCGTCCGATCCTGGGTGCAGAGCGGTCACTCGGGCGAGAGGCCACTTCGCTGGCGGGAATCTCTCGTCCGTGAGTAGAACCAGTGAGCCGATCCGTATCTGATGAGTCGGATGGTGCCACTTGGATATCGCTTGAAGACGTTGGAGATATCCCGTGGACCACCTCTTCCAGAATCCTTGAAGCTTCTGCTGAATGAGCTGCCATCTAGAGAGCCTTGAGACGTTGAGTTGCTCTAAAGATGGCTCTGGAAGAGTCGTGGGAGCCTGACCGATGAGAAAATGCCATGGTGTCAAGGCTGAACAGTCATCAGGATCATCCGTGAGCGGTTCCAGTGGTCGTGAGTTGAGCACTGCCTCGATTTGAGCGAGCAAAGTGGTGAGTTCCTCAAAAGTGAGCAGATCCTCTCCGATCGTCCGGGTGAGATGGAACTTCACCGACTTCACCGCCGCTTCCCATTTCCCTCCAAAGTGCGGAGCACCTGGAGGATTGAAGGACCACTGAGTCCCATCATTGATGAGGAGCTGTGCGAGCTGTCTTGATTGAGCTGATCCTGACGAGAAGAGCTTCTTTAGTTCCTTGTCAGCGCCAAGGAAATTGGTCCCACAGTCACTGAACAAGGAATGAGCGATCCCACGCCGACTTGAAAAGCGTCTATACGCCGCGATGAACCCCTCGGCTGAGTAGTCTGACACGACCTCGAGATGGACCGCTGAGGTGGTCATGCAGACAAAGATAGCCAACCAGCCTTTGTACGACTTGTGTCCCCGCCCTTTCCAGGACCGTAGAGACACTGGGCCGGCATAGTCGATCCCAGTGTTGAGAAAGGCTCGAGCGGGAGTGAGTCTGGCTGGTGGCAACTGGCCCATGAGCTGTTGAGCGCGTACTCCACGTTGGCGAGTGCAGTTAACGCACTTGAGGATGAAGGAGCGTACTGGTGCTCGACCTCCGAGTATCCAGTAGCTACTTCTGAGCTGCCTGAGGGTGAGCTGTGTGCCTCCGTGGAGTGGCCTTAGATGAGCCTGTCCGATGAGTAGCTGAGCCAGTTAAGATTCCTTCGGAATAATCACTTGGTTCCGGCTCTCCGGGCCTATGTGAGCAAACTTGAGCCGTCCTCCTATCCTCAATACCCCTTGGCGATCGATGAAGGGTGTGAGCTTGGTGAGGGGGTGGGATTTGCTGAACCTTTCCCCTCGTGAGATCGCTCTGAGTTGATCCTTGAAGTGAGCTGCCTGCGTGAGTTTGATCCAGAGGATGCGAGCCTCTTCAAGATCACCAAGAGTGAGCGGGTATCGAAGAGAAGAGTTGGGGGTTTTCCTGAGCCGAGCTATGAATCGTCGACAGATTGCTGTGACCCTGAGTAGTCGGTTGAACGATGAGAATTNGGTTTTCCTGAGCCGAGCTATGAATCGTCGACAGATTGCTGTGACCCTGAGCAGTCGGTTGAACGATGAGAATCTGTCGACGAGATTCCAGAGCGCGATTGGATGAGCTTTTACATGTAGGAGAACTCCTGGCTTTTCCTCGAGGTCTGCGCTGAGGTCTTTTTCCAGAGCGTGAGTTGGCCATGATGAGCAGTCTTGATGAAGCCATGGTGGCCCTTTCCACCAGAGCTTATGAGATACCAGTTGGTGCGCTGATAGACCTCGAGATGCACAGTCTGCAGGATTCTCCTTGCCCGGTACCAATCTCCAATGAGCCTGCTGAGTGAGCTCCTGGATGAGTGCCACCCGATTTTTCATGAACTCCTTCCATCTTCAGGAGTGTGAGCTGATCCACGTGAACGTGACCGATGAGTCGGTCCAGAGATAGGTGGTGGCGTTCGTGAGATTGAGTTGGTCCTTGACGTACTTAGTCAGTTTGGCCAGGAGGAGAGCCGCAGTGAGTTCTAGTCGTGGGATTGTCAGCCGTTTGAGCGGTGCGACCTTCGTTTTTGAGCAAACCAATGTGAGTTGTGATTTTCCCTTGTTGAGAACCTTGAGATAGATCACGGCTGACATCGCCACTTGTGATGCATCGGAAAAACCGTGTACTTCGACGACGGAATCCGTGAGCAGTCCAAGCCACCGAGGTATGGTGATCCCTGATAACTGTGTGAGCTCCTCCCTGAATTGGCTCCATCGTTGAGCAGTTGTCTGGGAAACTGGTTCGT